GCCAAGAATACTGGATTGTGATGTCTTCAAGTGTTCCTAAGAACGAATAACTACCCGCGCATGCGCTACAGATGCGGAGGAACGGGCAACATCAGTCTCCGATTTTAACGAGCGTTCCTGTAAGGAACGTTTCGGAGGCCGTCAACGGCATCTTTATATCACTCGGAGTTGGAGTTATAAACAGACCGGGATAATTGTCAGGCCTCGAGTAATGAGGTCGAATCACTCACTGTTCCGAGAGAAAACGCCTGGTGTTATAGCTCTGGTGGAAATGTATGCAAAGCAACTTTATTAGACTAAATGGAAGATTATTCCGGACGCAGATGCAGCATGGAGGAACAGCGTCTGCTCTCAAACAACGGCACACCTGATGGTAGCCGGCCGACAGTCGGGACCCCCTTTAAAGGTGACAACTGTGTGATCCTCTAGATGCTTGACTCGTGGTTTTTTACCAAACCAAATTGGCTGAAGAAAGCGTCAACTTTAACTACTTCTAAGCAATACCAGCACTGTAATCGAAGATGAAAAAGCGGTGTGAACGCATGGGCCGTACTAAGTGGTCTTCAGTGGTCACCTGTAAGGATACTAGGATACAGTCTAAGGCAAAGGGACATGCAGCCCAGGGGAATTCTCATGAAATACCGGATTAAGGGTTGTTCTACCAAACTGATTTACCACAATTAAGTCGACAGGGATCACGAGCTACGCGGACAACAGTAAACTTTACTGCGATATGCTACATACGAAGAACAACTTACCAAGAGCATTTTTCTCATCTGGGTAGGTCAAAATAATAACCATGCGCGATGCTACTTCATTACAGAGAACTTTGTCCACTGGCTATGTGGGCACTTGGTTTCTGCCAGCGAAAACATCTCTACAACGTTGACCTTATTTCGGTGGTCCCATTCATCGGTGAAAATGATTCTCCCTCTAGTGCGCCCCGTGAAGGAAGCTGGTACCCAGAAGTCCGCGGTTCTCTGAGGGCACCATCTCTTACCAGTCCACTGGTAGATGGCAGAACTCCACGAATGCGATCACCGCCGAGTAGGGATGCAGCGACCAGACCGCATATCCTCCCCGAAGATCGGGCAACTGATGCCGCCTGTTATAAAACCGCAAAAGGAGATGACGTACATGAATGTGCGGAAGACGAAGACATTTTAAAATTAAGACATGTCACTGTCTGCGGTCATACACATCACGGGGACTAAGGTTTGCCCACAATGATTTACATAAAACACACACACACATGCAGACCGTATACATCATAAGCTGTCAGCACCAGCCCGACTGCGAATGGCAGGAAAAATGAAATGACTGCGGAGGATAATATCGCTGAGACATGGACCTTACTGGCCCGATATTTCGAATTCTCACTCGAATCCATCATCAGAGACAGAATCAGATGACAGTAGGTGCCCCATAGGTGTTGCAGTATTCACAGGACGTAGCTGCACTATGCGGCGTGGCATGCTATGCCACTGCATGTCTATCAGAATTGGCACCCTTACCTGGTTCTGTCCCTGACGATGGATTCGAGCTGGAATCCATCAGACTCATAAAGCTCTTGCGCCCACGATCGCGCCTTCTCAACGACAACTCCCGAAACTCACCGTCCGGCCGCCGCCGCCGAACCGACTGCAGCGCAAGCGTGGAGGGAGACACCACAGCGCTTTTGCAAAGTTAAAACAAACAGTTAGTTGAAGATAAAGAGACCAGACCCTAATAGGCAGGTTAGTCCAGCGCACCTGCAAAATATATGAAGAACTAGCTGGACCCAACCAAGCGTTACTGTGTCTCAGTCTGATGAGATGAACACGAAAGAAAAGACGAAGGGAGCGCGTCTTTAATATGATTGATTTGATAATGCTTTTCGGTATACAATATTTTCGTCATTGCATTTTCCCTGCAAATATAGAGATTGTCTGGTTTGACGACTCTGGACCACGCAACATATAGTTGACTGTGGAAAAAACAATCCGCTTGTAGATAAAAACAGCAGAATTCTAAGGATTGGCCCTGAGGTTTGTTGATAGTGATTTCAAACGTCAGTCGAATCGGGAATCTCAGTCTCCTAAGTTGATATGAAAAATCAGTCGAGTCCGTGGAATGTAGGGAATAAGGATATGTCCACCTTCGAAAGGTGCTGTTAAAATAGTTGCTTCCACGACGTTGCTCATTAATGTTTTTACTGCAATCCGTGTGCCGTTTGAAAGCTTCGGCTGGCTGATAGTACGCAAAATAATGCAGTGCCCTCTCCTACTTAGTTAGACGGAACCGATTCAAATGAAGGCACAATGGGTTTCTTTTTTCAGTTCAGTTCATTGGGGGAAATAGGCGTAAGCCTTTCAGTACCCTATTTGCAACGTTAAAATGTGTGGTCTACAGATACATGTTCTGGGCTGAAATAGTTCAAACAAGCCCATAATGGTAGGACAAAATGGGAACGAGTTACAGGGAGTGAGCACGACTTCTCATCGCCCCTGGTCATTTGGGAACATATACATATCAAGATTCTCTTTAAAACATTGTATAGATGGTGACATCACAACATCTGCGGGAAGGGTGTTCCATGGTTTGACCACTCGAACAGAGGAGAACTTCCGCCCATCCAGCTCTGCCTGCTGAGTGCGCAGTTTGAACGGGTGACCTCGGAGGTTGGTCGTGGTAGCAAATTCAAAAAAGTCCTCGAAGGCCAGACTGCAATCCAACCCCTTTACAATGCGGAACGCTTGCAAGAGATCTCCGCGAAGTTGCCTGTAACTCAAAGGAAAGAGGTTCAGATTTACTAGGCGGGTCGCATAAGGAAAGGAGCTTTGACCCCTAACCATCTTCGTGGCTCTCCTCTGGACTCTTTCGAGACAGTTTTGATCCACAACCGCCCACGGCCTCCAGGCTTGTATGCCGTACTCTAAATGCGGCCGGACGAATGTCCCGAATGTCTTTGCGAAAGCATCTACGTCAAAGTCCATAAACGCACGCTTGATGGCGTACAGTACGGACATTGCGCTTTTTGCCACACTCAAAGAGTGGGCGGATGGTTTTAGGTAACTCGTCGTCAGCACACCGAGGTCTTT